TACATTTGAGGCTTTTATAAGTTGCTTTTGCTGGTTGCCAACCAGCAGTCAAACTTGAGATGTCACAAAGAAGAAGACCAAAAGATGCGGAAAATGGCGGGAATTTGTACAAAATAGCTTTTCTTTATGATCTTTCAGCAGAGAAGTTTGTATTGTTTTTGATTTTTTGTTTGCCCTTCCATTTTAAGTTATCTGCTGTGCCTTACTGTTGCATTGATTGGACAAGTGCATGTGTATAAGTGTCTCTAAAGAAAGATTTCACATTTGTAAATTGTCATTTGCAGGCATCGAAAGTAAAGAAGTACAACTTGGATGCCTGTACATTGGGAAAAAATTAAAAGTGCGTTTAATAATTAAGATATTGTAAAACCTTAAACAATAGGACATTAACGGAATCCGAAGAACCTTAATGAACAGTTTACCAGTTTAACAGGATAAAAAATTAATACTAACGATCGTTTTCACCAAGTCAGGTCAACTATAATTCCCCGTCAAACATCGTTAACGACCCCATGTTATACACATGCTGTCGATAACGATGTTTAACGGGAAATTAGGGCCTCTTCGACCATTTATGGTTGACACTAATTCTCCGTTAAACATCGTTAACGACCAATGCCGTTTGTTCAATGTCCGGTTAACACAAATCGGAGGTAGAAGTAGTATCACATACGTGCACAGTGGCGGATTTAGGATCCATGGGCCCCTAGGCTCTTTCCGTGGTGCGGGCACAAGTTTAACAATTTGTAGAAAACTTCAAAAAAGTGCAACAAATTTTCACCTAAATTTCAAACTTTTTTCTCAGAAGTGTTTGAATTTTTCTGAATACACAGTTTTATAGCCCAACCAATTTTAGTCTGATAATGTGCAAGTTTCAAGTTGCTAAAAGTTACCGTTGATTTTTTAGAATTTTTTTCGCCAACGGGGTTGCGGATTTCTTCCATATACAAATAAATTGAGTTTATTCATTATATGGAAGCCAATGCGACAAAAAAAATTCTAAAAAATTAACGGTAAATCGTAGCCACTTGACATTTGCCCATTATGCAGTGGCTAAAAAACTGTGTACTCGAAAAAATTCTAACACTTTCGAGAAAAAAGTTTGAAACTTAGGTGAAAATTTGTTGCACTTTTTTGAAGTTTTCTACAAATTGTTAAACTTGGGTTTATATGGGGTTTGTTAGAGAAAGAACTGTATTTTAATTGAAAATTCTTAAAAATAAATAAATAAACATAAGTGGCACACAATATCACTTTGAAATGGCGTGCTATAGAAATGACCGATACTGTATATATGTACCCATATAAACTTTTCCAGCAAAAATATTGGTACTTTTAAAACCTCATTTCACTTCACCTTATAGGACATAAATTTTAGAATAGTTTACATTAAAAAAACTCTTAATATAAGCCTTTTTATATTCAAAAATTTTATTAAGCTTGAGTTCGTTATTAACGAAGAT